AGAGGATTATGAGATTGAATACAAGAATTGAGTTAAGCTTGTTGAAATTAAAGTAAATTCATACATGCATGCATAGTTTTGTTGAATTTTATCATTTTTTTAGCATGATTTTGTCATCCATGTGGAATTTAGAACATAAATTGTACATGCATGCATGATTCACAAAGTTTTGAAAGTGAATTTCATGTTTTGTAAGCTTTTGATAAAGAATTTGAAGTTTGATCATACATTCATGATCATTTGAGTTGAATTCATGAAGTTTTGGCCAAGAGACTTGAAAATTGGTCTTGAATCATGTTTATAGAAGAGTTTAAGTGTTTGTGAAGTTGTATTCAAGCCATGTAAGATTTTGATTTGAAAACACAAGTTTTGGAAGTTCAATACTATTCTAAAATTTCAAGAATTCCGCCTCACCACTTGAGCGAACAATCTGTCACTCGAGTGCACAAAGCAACCAAGCCACCGCTCGAGCGACCGCCTTTTATTTTGCACCTTGGCTCAAGTGAACATCGAGCCTAGATTCGGACCATCCAATACTTTTGCAGACAATGTTGTCCGCTCGAGAGACCAATGTTGCGCCCGAGCGAACTATCATGTTTCAGCATATTTTGGAAAGCCATGTTTTACTCTTTTGGCATTCTCATTCCTTTCTAAGCATTCTTAGGCATGAATTGAGCATCCTAAATGAAATAAAGAGTTAGAATGAAGCCTAAGAGAATTGAATAAGTTGAAGAACAATCTGGTTAAGCCATGTAATTCAATGTGTGTAAGTTTATGAATTGTGTAGGACCATCCGCGAGGACATGTCAGCAACTAAATCATTGTGAGTAATATCTTAGTAAAAATATTTTCATATTTACTCTATTTTCTAAATATCTTAATGTGGTTAGTTTTCTGAACTTATGATTTTGCAAGTGTGAATAAGTTTCTATCTGTCTGATTAACATGAGATTTGTAAATGTGATTGATGTGACACGAACATATATGATGGACCCAAGGTCGTTCTGTATATCTAAAATGGACCCAAGGTCATTCTGTATATCTGACAAGATGGACCCAAGGTCATTTTGAACATCTGATAAGTGTGATTATCTATTATGAGTTGATCGAATGGTCAATATATAGTTGTAAATGATTGTACCTGAGGTTGTTCTGTTGTAATATGATTGATTCCATTCTGTACATCTGTTATCTGTTGGACCCGAGGTCGTTCCATTATGAATTGTTTATGATATAGAAATATTCATGCTACTTAATAGAACTCATTCATATAACCTTTTTACTCTAATGTTATTCACTGGGCATTAGCTCACTCTGTATTTATATGTATGTAGGCGAGCAGCGATATGTCCAACCCTAGCCCTAGTGAACCTGTGAAGTAAACTGAGTTTTTGTGATATCAACCCAGGATACCTCACACATGAGGCTTTTGTGTTTTGATTTTATGTTTCTTTTGTTGGTCATGCTTAACCGCATTTATATATAAGTTTGGTGTTTGTATGTTAATGACATGTATACGATCTTGGACAAATGGAATCTTTTTATGTATGTATGAGTGTGAGTTATTAATATATAAGAAGTTTTGTTCATGCTATTTATGCACAAGCTCATTGGACAAAATTTTATTATTCAGCTTCCGTTTCTGGCCCCATATAATTAAATATTATTTGATTTATGTCTGAGGTCATAGGTAATCTCATGATTACTGGCCGGTTATGATCCAAACCTCTAGAGGCGAGTTCGGGTCATGACATTAAGGCCTTAGCCCTCACAAAATTTTTTTTTCTGAATTACAAATTGTCCCCAAATTAGTACTTTTACATATATATATACACATTTGTACCTTAGATTTATTTTGTACACAAATATCTACTAATTAGATACAATTTGTACACAAAAATCAAGGAAAAATCTCCCCAAATCCAAGTACTATGGCTAGCCACCTCATCTTGATATATACAAGTGTACTTTTGTGATCAAGTCTAAGATTTTGAAAGATATAGGAGATATTGAAAGATATAGGGATATATGGAAAGATTTTGTACCTTTACATATATATATACACACATAATTGTACCAATTTGCCTACATAAATAAGTTTGTACATGAAGATCTTTATAAAATATGCAATTGTACACAAAATAAATCAATAGGATCCTTCCAAATCCTCATGATGTTCAACCATCATACCACTCATTCCCTAGGATTTTCTATAGGATACACTTAGTACAAAATCCCTTGAATCATGGGACCATGATGATGACTTTGGTACCTTATAGATTTACTATATATATATGGGTACTTGTAACTAAAAGTGTTTAATTAGCCCTAAACCTAACTAGTTTTTAATAAACTATATAATTAAGGACCTAACCATCCCTCATTTCATTACATTCAAACTAAATTGAGGCACTATTCAATTGAATTGGAACCAGTGGATTTTTTGGACTTTTCGCACCAAATTCTCTATAAATATATCATCCATCCCTATTTGTTGAGCACATTTTCACACTCACACACACATACATGGCTGAGAGAGAGAAAGAGTAAACAGAGGAAAAGAGAGCTTGGTGGTGAAAAAGAAGAAAGGAGAAGGAAAAATTGTGCAAACATCTTATCTAGGCAACAAGTAAGCCACAATACAACCCTCTCTTCTATTTTCCTCTTTCAAATACATGTTCTTATAGGTTCTAAATATTATATTGGTGTTCTTGTGTTGAAAATAAAAATAATTGAGTCTTGTTCCACCCTTACTTGTCTTTTCTCTTAATCGGTGCAAAACTATCTTTTTTCTACTCTAATCTCTCATAAATTCTAAAGGCACACCTTTAATAAAAATTTCTAAGTTTGATATATATTATTTATCATGTTTTAATCACAATATAAGTGAAAAATTATCCATGGTTACCATCATTTCTTACCTTTTCTCCTATTTCAAGCCTTTTGCTCAAAGAATCGATTTTTCAGCCAACTTGTGAAAATTTCAGAAAAATTTAGAAAAATCTTATTAAATTAAATTTTATGTAAAAACCTTCCTTTAAGTCTTATCTTTCATGGAAAAAAAATTTTCATCAAAAAAGAGTGAGTGGTTTGAAAGAAAACCCAATTTTCGTAACAGTCGACGAATTTGAACAACGCTTGAGTATTTCTTAAATAACAAAAAATCTAGGAAATATTTGATACTTCTAAAAGATGTTCTTAAATCTAGATAAAATTCTATACAATCCATAGGAAGGCCAAGTTTATAAAAAATCTAAAAGTGTCTCTTTAATTGCAATCTTTAAAGTGCACCAAATCTGGAAATTTACTTTTATTGATAAAATTGTGTTCTTGACTTGATGGATGTGCTTGTTATCATCTGTGCATATCGTGGTATGATATTTGCATATGTTATATTTATGTTTCTTACCATATTCCTTTGATGATGCTCATGTTTATGTGGATATTATTGTCTTGATAAGTTTGTTCTAACTTTAACTTAAAACATTTAACTCAACGGAAAACTTAATTCGGGTGGTATTGGGTTTTCGATCTCTTAAGTATGGTTTGATGGGACGTGTCCCCTAATTGAGAGTAAAGTCTTATGTAGTGGTGTTCGAAACCTTTGAACGGATCAATTGTATTCGAACCCTGGGTGCTTGATGTAAGAAGGGAATGGGCAAGGCCCTTATTTTCCTGTCTCTTTTGAGGTCCTCGGTTGGTGCTACGTAGTATGTAACCGTTGGTAGGCATCTGAGATAAGTTCTGCAAAGCATCAAAAGAGGGGGCATAATGAATAATCCAAGTCCGATTCTTGCGGTTGGGAGGATGGAATCTCCTTGGGAGATTTCTAGATTACTAACATCTAACTTTGTAATCATTTGTTATTGACTTGAATTTCATGCTTCTTTACTTTCTTGTTATCATTGTAATGGTGTATTTGATTAGGAAAAAGGGAATGGGGTGTGTGTGTGTTTACTGGGCATTCAAAGCTCATGGCATTTCAACCGAAGTATTGAAGACTATTAGCCTAGTCGAAGGCAAAGACGAAGCATTTGAGGACAAACAGCTACCATATGAGGATTAGAAACTAGTTTGTAAACATGTTTTGAGATCGTAAGTGAGAAAATCTCCTATTGTATTGAAGGCATGATTTTGTAATTATTATATATCTATACATATCTTTTACATTACATATTCCTTATTTGCTGGTCAACTCATGTAGTCCTTGTGATAATACCTTGTTAAGATTTGTCAAAAGGGTAGATTTGCTATCTAAGGTGGTTGGACTTTGAAGGGAGGCTATATTGACTCCTCTGACCTTCTTGGGATCTTACTTGGTTATTAATCAAAGGACTTATTAATGACATTTTCTACCCTTGTAACCTTAGATAAACCCTGTATTTATTTGTTAATACATTCTCTGATGCTTCTTATTTTTGGGGCGTCACAATTTCAACCTTGGAGATGCTTGAAGTTGTTAGAGCTGTTGTATTACCATTTTTGTGCCAAAAACTATTTTTACCAAAATTACCATTTGTTAGTTCATATTGAGGGCATGTTTTCACCTAGAAAAAGTTGGAATTTGGAAATCACTATTGCACACAACATTATATACCTTTGAATTATCTTTCCAACTCCACTTGATTCGCTTCAATCTAATGTCGGCTAAGAAAGATATGCCCAAAATACAAAAAGTCGTCAAGGATGTGCACTCGCACATACCTTGCGCAAGCACACATCTTTGCGAAGTTAGCAACAGATGCATTTTCTCCTCGTGTGTACACACATTCCTAGTGCATCTACACAAGATTTCTGCGTGCGTACATTTCTCTAATATATCTAGATTTTTTGGAGGCACCACCAGTTAGCGATGGAGAACCCTGGGGCGATCTTTCTTGACCCCCAAGTGTAACGACCCCAAAATCCGTATTAGAGATTACCTTTACGGCCTATTGGGTTAATGCATTTTGATTTATTGATATGTGTTCAAATTGAGGAATTATTTGTTGAGCCACGACTGTAAAATTGAAATTACCGACCTTTACGGGTTCAGAAATCACAATTGAGGACTTGGATGTGTTAATGAAAATTTTTAGAACTATTTGGGAAACTTAATTGGAAATCTAATTTGTCTGATTTGTTAATGTGCGTTTGGGTGATTAACTTGGCGCTGCAAATTAAAGGCCTTAGAGGCTTCAAAAACCAGAATAGGGGACATATTTATGATCATCATAATTTTTAGAGTCATCTGGAAAGTTTAATTGAAATTTAATTTTTCGCGATTCGTAAGGGCGTGTTTGGCCCTCCTTATTTGTGATAAAGCTTGTATAATTAATATATAGGTGTGTATGAGTTATATAAGTGGTGAACTCATACTTTTGGAGTCAAAAAACAAAATATCTAAAGAGAGAGAGAGGAAACCGTGAAAGGGAGAGAGGGAAGAGTGTCAATTTTCTCAACATCCATGGAGGCTTTGAAGATGAAGGAAGAGAATTGAAGGAAAGAAAGAAGATCACCCATGGGACTTGGAGGAATTGAAGAGAGCTAAGAGGTAGACAAAGATTGAGTTAGGTATGAAAATCTATCTTGAAATCTTGTGTTTAAAGTATCAATTTGGTAAAATCATAGAGATCTTGGAAGATTTAAACCCATTTGGGGTTAAGGTTATCTATGTATTTACTTGAGCTAATTTGAGGAATTAGAAATTGAGTTCTTTAATTTTGTTTATGAGTGGAGCTCAAGCTCATGGATATCATGAAATAAACTTTAGATTATGCAAGAATCATGTGAATTTGTGGGTTGTGGGTTGTGTTTTTAAGAACCTTGAAGATCATGAAAGATTAAGCATTAATCTTGAACTTTGAGACAAAGATTGAATTGTTTGAAATGAAATTACACTTGGTTGATGTTAGTTTATCATGTTATAAGGCAATTCTACATGTTTTTGAGTGATTTATGTTAAGAACCAAGCTTAAAAATGGAAAAACCAACAGACCTTAAACTGTCCCAAAACAGCGGCCAAAAGATGTCTAAAAGGTGGACCAATACTCATGCTAGCAAGCAAACTAATGGTCCCAAGGTTAAGGCATAAAAAAAGACATTTTTCCCCCACCAACATGACTACTCATGGCATGATTAAAACAAGTAAAAACAGAGTTTTACAGACCAAGATAGGACTTCAAACCCTCCTAAAATGGCAGCTAAGGTGACTCCAAAAGAGTGTATGCACCAAGGCTCAAATGTAGGCATAAGAGGGTACACCCTCAAGGCATAAAAGAGGTCATGCATGCACACATACAAACATGATTCTTGGACTAAAATGTGGTCCTAAATGATGTTTGACTTTGTTTTGAGTGGCTCCCTTTGCTCAAAATAATGGTTGTTATAGTTGTATTTAATGTTCGATTGAATTTATGACGGTATGACCAAGTATCTACAATGGTATGATTTATGAGGCCGAGGGCCAACTTGTGAATTCTGAAATTATGAGGCCGAGGGCCAACTTGTGAATTCTGAAATTATGAGGCCGAGGGCCAACTTGTGAATTCTGAAATTATGAGGCCGAGGGCCAACTTGTGAATTCTGAAATTATGAGGCCGAGGGCCAACTTGTGAATTCTGAAATTATGAGGCCGAGGGCCAACTTGTGAATTCTGAAATTATGAGGCCGAGGGCCAACTTGTGAATTCTGAAATTATGAGGCCGAGGGCCAACTTGTGAATTCTGAAATTATGAGGCCGAGGGCCAACTTGTGAATTCTGAAATTATGAGGCCGAGGGCCAACTTGTGAATTCTGAAATTATGAGGCCGAGGGCCAACTTGTGAATTCTGAAATTATGAGGCCGAGGGCCAACTTGTGAATTCTGAAATTATGAGGCCGAGGGCCAACTTGTGAATTCTGAAATTATGAGGCCGAGGGCCAACTTGTGAATTCTGAAATTATGAGGCCGAGGGCCAACTTGTGAATTCTGAAATTATGAGGCCGAGGGCCAACTTGTGAATTCTGAAATTATGAGGCCGAGGGCCAACTTGTGAATTCTGAAATTATGAGGCCGAGGGCCAACTTGTGAATTCTGAAATTATGAGGCCGAGGGCCAACTTGTGAATTCTGAAATTATGAGGCCGAGGGCCAACTTGTGAATTCTGAAATTATGAGGCCGAGGGCCAACTTGTGAATTCTGAAATTATGAGGCCGAGGGCCAACTTGTGAATTCTGAAATTATGAGGCCGAGGGCCAACTTGTGAATTCTGAAATTATGAGGCCGAGGGCCAACTTGTGAATTCTGAAATTATGAGGCCGAGGGCCAACTTGTGAATTCTGAAATTATGAGGCCGAGGGCCAGCTTGTGAAGTATGAATCTGTAACTTGTGAAACTATGAATCACAAAGGCCGAGGGCCAATTTGTGAAGTTATGCATCTAAGTTAAGCCAAGGGCTAATTTGTTAATGTGTGAACCCATCAGGCCAAGGGCCAACCTATGAAGTTATGAACCGACAAGACTGTCCTTAAATGTGTACAGAATCAGACTAACCACAGGATTTTTGCATTTACTTATCTAATTAGAGAAATGTGTACATTGTAAGTAAATTAAGTTAATCTTTAAATTGTTTATGTACTACTGTTCACTGAGCTTGACTCACTTTGTCTTATGTCTGTTTCTGTAGGCACTCCACCTGGAGGTCAGTTTTAACCCATGGCATCCGTGCCTCTTTTGTCAACCTCAGAGTATCCAGGCACTTAAGTGAAGGCAGCCTTTTTGCTAAACTTTTGATTTTACACTCTGATTGTTTGCTTAAGGTTGATGTATATATAATTCCTTTGCCTGTCCATGTTGTTTTACGCCCAATTCTAAGGGCTGGGTCTGTATATATATATGTACATAACTAACTCTCTGGTGCACGTCACTGTATGTTTATTTGCCTTATGTTCTGTCTGTGATCCTGGCATGATAGTGGTCGCTCAATGGATGCAGTTCTTTTATTTATGTTAATTTATATTGGTAAATGCTTCCGTTCAGGCCCCATATGATATGTATACCAGGTTATGCGTCCGTTTCTGTGTAGGTCATGCCCAAACTTTTAGGGGCAAGTTTGAGGCGTGACACCAAGCCTCTATTTGCCTATAAATACACCCCCTGCTCCTCAAGGAGGAACACTTAGATCTATTTGGAGAGCTTTTTAGTGAGTTTGAGAGTGAAACCTTACCACCTTAGCCTCAAATTCGAGATTCTTAACCCTAATACGGCAGCTTTGCCATCTTAAAGTAATCTAGGGTTGAAGAAGGAACACTCATTGCCTTAGCAAAGCTTGAGGGAAGCATTTAAGCACGTTTTGCTCGCTTTTTGGTTGCTCATCAGTTTGGTATTCAATCCAGCAAGTAATTACCTTATTTATTTCAATTTCAAAACTTTTTAATAATGTTTTCGCTATTAAATCATGGTTAGGATGTTAGTTTAACATGGAGCATCATATAGGTTAGTTTATATGCATGTTTTTAACTTTATTTCGCATGTCTTGTTTAGTCTATCAAAATAACATGTTTAGGCTAGATTAATCATGTAATATTCATGCATATAGCCCGGTTTGATCATCATCTAGCTTCATCATATTTTCTTTCTTTTACTTGTTAGTTGTATTTTGTGCATATTCATCATTTAGTAGCCTCAAACCGAGCTTAGGTTCATATTTTGTATGCTTAGTTGCATGTTTAGGTCATGTTTATGCACATAAGATGTTGAAAATGGGCATCCGGGTAAGTGTCTTCATCTTTCATAGCATGTGCTTGTGTTTCTTTGCATTGCCTTTTCAATAATGCAAGTTAGATGCTCTATGTGTGCAAAATTATATGTTTTGAATTTTTCGTGAATATTCTTAATTTTAGATTGAGTTTATGGTCATCAATTATTAAAAATCCACTTCTTGTTACAAATCATCATTTTTGAAAAATATGGATTTGTTCTCTTAATCTAAAATAAATGGTATTCATTTTTCTTCGAATCACGTAGTTTTGGGTTAGATAAGGGTTTTAAATCTAATAATAAAGTTTGTGAATAATTAACCACTAAAATGATAAAATAGAAAGTGAGTAGAGGCCAATCTTCAGATTAGGCAAAAGCAAGTGCTTCCATGAAAATGGCCTTCCCTTTTTGTACTTAAGCTCCCAAACCTAGAAATTTTCTGGTTATGACGGACTGGGCCTTAACATAGTTTTCATCGTTGAAGGTTCCTCAATTCCCCTTTAAAAATTAAGTGGCAATTCTTTGTTGGTTAAAGCAAGTAAGTGTGGGAAGCAATGCCTTAGACTCGAAAAAGGCACGACGCCCACACATAAGAGAAGAGTTGCTAATCTTGTCAAACCTTACATACTTTTTGCATTAGAATTTTAATCCTCTACATTTTGAGATCTATGGAGAAATATCGGATGATTAAAGTATTGGTTATAGAAGAAATTATTTTGAGGTAATTCAGGTGGTATACAATATGATTCCTTTAAATCTCTTTGTAAAGAGTTTCGTGTTAATCCCCTAACACCCAGGCCTTAGCCTTTAATCGATCAATTCCCCCATGAAATAAGGACGGTTTCATCTTTTTGAACTCTCTGGTGAGGGCAATGGTGCGGTCATCTGTTTGGTGATCCGGTACCGGTGGTATAGGCATCGGAGGTGGGAGTGGTGGTTGTTGTTGCTGCCATTGTTGTTGTTGTCTTAAGCTTTTAGCCAAATCGTGCATCATTCTTTCCATCTGGTCAAGTCAGTTAGAGGTAGATTCCTCCAATTCATCCCCTCTTGTTATCACCATTATCTATATGAAACTTGTATCATAAAAAATACATTGTATGCACACATATACAAATACACATTTTCAAAAGTTACCTCATTCTAATATTCAAAATGCAAATGAATGCAATCCTTAAGTCCTTTCTAGACACCTTATTGCTCAGTGGACAAGTGAATGAGGTATAACTCGTGCTCTAAAACCAAAACTGTCATGACTCGAACCCGTCCCTAGAGGTTTAAGCCGTGACCAACCAGTAATCCCAGATTACCTTCAGCCTCAAAGACAAAACTAATAATTAAAAGTAATAACGGGGCACTGCGGAAGCAATAATAAAAATACAACCATGTCTATCGAGCAATGCATACATGAGATTTCATAGGTAATTAAAACTTTAACCTTCCTCATAGATATGATCACATAGTTACATCAACATCTTAACACTTATACAAAATATCCATAAACAACAAGTCCCTAAAACAAAAGCAAACTAAACAAAAGAACTTGGTTCACAAGGTTGACACAACTTGGCTCCACATGAGACCAAGATCGCCCCATCACAAAGGCACTCCAAAGCGGCTTGGCAAAAGGGTGGACTCCTGAGGTTTCTCTAAGCTTGATGCTCCAGTTGCTCACCTACATATATATAAGGGAAAAGGTGAGCTAAAGCCCAGTGAGTATTACCAGTATAAAAAGGTTAAAAGAATAATGTCTATTGTAATACAAATTCATATCACATGGTTTCAAAGCAAATCATAATTGAATACTTGTCGTATCAAAGTTCACAAATCATAATCATATTGTAATAACCCTCACCCATGTTTACCGATAAACTACTGATTACTGCTAAACCGAGACTGATTACGATAAGTAATTGAATCAACTGAAATACTGAACAGACTGACTGAAATCTGAAACTGATTGATTGACTGTATCTGTTTAAATGCATTATGTATCTGTTGCCTGTTTGATTATCTGTTCATATTCTATGTTTTAAACTGCTAATTGAAGGCCTTATCGGCGGCCGAATCTGAAATTGATTAGTGTCTTAAGATCAGTAGAATTAATGTGATTTTATGGTATATTTATCTGAAATTGATTTAGTATAATTAAAATAGATTAAAATAAGCTAATTCCATAATTTGACTTAATTACCTTAGTGCCATCTAGTGGGCCACTTATTTGACACTTTAGAGGCTCATTCTTAGGCATTACAAAACATTTGTTCAACCCTTTTGATGTTCATAACCAATCAAGAGAGGGGAGTGAGAGGTTTGGAGTGAATTCAACTTGACTTTGTGCATTGGCTTGAAGAATTGGAATATAGGTTGCAAATTAAGCTTCCTCACCTTGTATTTGAGGACCTGGGTAGGGAATTTACTCTCTTTAAATTGATTCTTGCATGGTTCTTGCCAAATTGAAGAGCTAAGTCATGAATTAGTTCTAGCATGTTGAGTTGTAGCTCTAATCTTGCATGCATGTTTGTATTGTTGAGTTTTAAGTTGTTTTCATGGCAAAATGTTACATGCATGCTCATGATGATGTTTAAGTCCATGATTTCATCTTGTTTGGAAAAGAATCGGCTCATTAGAGCATGTATTGAAGTTTTGAATTGATTTAAACTCATGCATGTTTGCATGTTCATCATGTTCATGAAAATTGGTTTGAAATTGAGTGTTTGAAACACCTTTGGGCTTTGATTTTACAATTGAGCTTTGGAATCATGTTAAATTATGAGTTTTGGGATGTTTTCTAGAAAATTGGCCCAAGAGGATCGGAATTTGTGCATTTGAACTTGGTTTTGAGCTTGGAAGTTCAAATTTGGAAATTCCAGATTTTGAACTCTCGCTCGAGCGGGGAAAGTGGCGCTCGAGCGGGAAATTCGTGCTCCTAGTACTTTGCACTATTTTGACGTCCGCTCGAGCGAAATAATTGACGCTCGAGCGGGACCTTGTGTATTATGCTTGAGCGACTGTCGAGCGCCCATCGAGCATGATTTTCACCTATCTAGTACTTTTGCCCTGTTTTGCAGAACGCTCGAGCGGGAAAGTATACGCTCGAGTGAATACCTTCGTCTGCATGTACGCTCAAGCGGGGAAACATGCACTCGAGCGGGACCTCTGTTTTCTGAAAAATGTTTTAAAGTGCATCTTTGCATTTCATCCTAGGCATTCTTAGGCCTAGTTTAAGGCATCTTAATGAGGATATAGATGTAGAACACACCGAGGCAAATTAGGGATTAAGTTATTATCTTTCCCAATTGTGTAGCTTAATGTGTTCGTCCTGTAAACTGTGTAGGGTTGGCGACTGGAGACGCGCTCTAGCTTAACTGTAGCCCAGAACTCTGTGAGTAACAACTGTGTAAAGATATGTTCAAAGATGAATATTTTCTGACTGTTAACTGAACTGCTTTCTGAATTGTTACTATTAACTGAATGAATGTATGTCCTCTATTCTGAATTGTATTATGGCATCCATAGCAACTACTGTTTACTGTTACTGCTATTGTTACAGAGATCTCTATCAATTCCTATCTTGGAACTTCTGTTTACTGTTATGATGGCCATCATTGACTGTTCGGTCTCTTAAGACCTACTGTTTACTGTACTGCTATGCTAATGGATGTACCACATATGACTGTAATGACTGAATAACTGATATACTAATTGAAATGATTGTTTTCAATACTGTAAGGATATTCATTCTTAACCTCTTTACGCATTATGTTATTCACTGGGCTTTAGCTCACTGTTTATATATATATGTAGGTGTACAGGCACCAGATCGAAGCTAGGAGCGTGGGTTAGACTCCCTTTTTGTCAAGACAACCACTGCGCCTCACTGCGAGGTTTCGAGCCTGCCAAGCTATGGCTTAGGGGTGTTTTAATTTCCCCCGTCTGTCTCTGTATCTGTTTTGTAATGTTGTATAGACTGATAGCACTGTACTGTACTGTTTAACAGGGATTAGGTCCCTGTTCTGATCGACTGTAAATGTTGTACATACTGTTCTGTATTGTTCATGGATATACGCATGAAAAATCTTTTTGCATACAGACTGTCACAGCTCATTGGACACTGTTTATTTACTGTTTTGGCTTCTGCCATGCCCCTGTACTCTGTATTATTGTCTGACTGTTAAGCAGGCCTATGGTAATCTCGGATTACTGGCCGGTTACGA